AATGTTAGAAGATAGTTGTGTTTCAAATTTTTCAATGTCTGTTTGGGAAGTCTTTAAGAGGTCATGATATTCATGAAGATTTCATAAGCACATTTTCCGAAAATCAGGCACCCAGAGTTGTCCATTGCTTTTGAAAACACCAACACTTGTCTAAAATTAGTATTCATTTTTTGAGTGATTTAATTAGTGGATGCTTAATCTGACATACCTCATACCAGTTTGATGTTTGGAGAGCAGTGATCCAGTGTTTTGTAAATACTAGTTCCATAGATGTAGATGTTTCCAAACAAGTAGTCAAATTGAGGTAGCCCATACCATCCATCTTGCATAGGATATGGTTGTGTGTCTGTGATGCCTTGCATTTCCTGTTAGTCATATGAGTATATTGGAACGAATTTTCCATTGTATTTAAAATTACAGGTTACTCTATATTGTTCCCACTCGTGATTCAGTCAGACATCAGGCTGAGAGTCCAGCCTGAACACAACCTGATCATATGCAGCAGATCAGTTACTGGAACGTGGGAAAAGAGTATCCCCAGCTGGTGGACAGTGTTTGTAGCTCGTGCCTCCATTCTTGGCATCACTACTAATGATATCCTCTTAAAAACAGCTGGGGGAGGCAGGTTGTTTCATTTCTCTTTAGCCATTTAATACACATCTAGTCTAAGCTACTGATCGAACTTTCTGCAATCCTTGGAGTTACCTCTTAACAGGCAGTTCATCTCACCTCTCTCTGAAGGCATCTTGGAGGCTGCAGCATTTCAATACAACCTAACAATTTACTGCTGATACAATTTACTTCCAGCAACCCTTCTCACCTAGCTGGAGACTGGTCACATGCATCCTACCTCCCCTTACAGTCAAAGTGACTTATTTTGGTGAGATGCACTGAGTCTAGTGCACTCTTTTTTTTTTTTTTTTTTTTTTTCCCTTTTTCCCCGTTAACTGTAAAGTGATTTTAGTTAAGTACCTCAGATGGAGCCATTTACTATTGGTCAAATAAGTCCTATTTCCAGCTGACGTCTTGAAGTTTTAGTTCTCAAGGTCCATCCCTATAAAGTATATTTCCCAAGAAGTGACTGCCCTGCAGCTGGAGGCACAGGACTTTTCTCCAGGAGTTCAAAATTTGGCATTCATATTCTAAGTATGTGCCTTACCAGGCAGGTTTGTGGCTTTCTTGTTTTTACAGAAGATGAGAAACCTATAAAAATGACATGTGTGTAAAGTGATTTTAGTTAAGTACCTCAGATGGAGCCATTTACTATTGGTCAAATAAGTCCTATTTCCAGCTGACGTCTTGAAGTTTTAGTTCTCAAGGTCCATCCCTATAAAGTATATTTCCCAAGAAGTGACTGCCCTGCAGCTGGAGGCACAGGACTTTTCTCCAGGAGTTCAAAATTTGGCATTCATATTCTAAGTATGTGCCTTACCAGGCAGGTTTGTGGCTTTCTTGTTTTTACAGAAGATGAGAAACCTATAAAAATGACATGTGTTTATGGTACAATCTTGTACACAGTTTTGGTCTATGGACAATGGTTTGTTCTCCAGACCACAACAGAAGCTTTCTGGAAAGCTTCATACGTGTCATTCCTGAGAGCTCTTCACCCAAGAAATTTTGTCACTGTCTCTCTTAATTCCAGGCTTTGTCTTCCTCCAGCTTTTACAATTAAAAAGAACAAAATGATAACCTAACTACTGGAATTGTGAACTACAATCTGCCTGGCTTTTTTATAAGATCTGAGGCAGTCACCATCATCACCAGCAGCTACCTAAATGGCTTGATTTCTCCTTCTCTTGAGCCTGAATGGGGGAGACAGCTTGGTTTTAAGGCGGTCTGCTATGGTCCTCAGTGCTAAACCACACTATTACTGCCCTGGCAACCACAAGCCTTTCAGTAAGACAACCATCTCCAGATGCACACAGCTATTTAACATGGGTTTCAGTGTGGCATCTCTTAAAAGGCACAAACTAGCAGTCTGTATTTAGAAATTTGAATTCCTAGGCTGACTTTCAAATGAAACAAAGATATTTTCCCTTTTAGGTTTTCTGGGGATGCCATGGTGAGAGGAATGCATTTTTATGTCTTTTTTAAGGCAGGCAACGTGTGCATTCCATGGCCCTGTGCCATCTGCATCATTAAGCCACCTTCTTCCCTGATTTATATTAATCTCGTAAGCACAAAACCTCTGCTAACTATCCAGCCAAACTAAAAATAACCTCTGAAAATAATTCAATGTAAAAACGTTTGCCTTCCAAAGAGAAAGCAATCTACCCTTTACAGCCCTTCTGCCATGTTAAAGCACTGATTAAGTTACTGGTTTCTGATGGTACCAAGAAATTTAAAGAAACTAATTGCTTGTGAGCTGTTTCTGAATGATAATTAGAGAAACCTGATGTAGCTGCAGCTTTGAACTATCAAAAAGCTGTTAGAGTAGCACTGTGGAAGAAATATACTGAGCTCTTAAGGTAACAGTGTTTATGCATGGAAATTTCCTTAATGGGGTGCAAATTTATCCCTCCTTTCTTTGATTTGTGCCAAACGTTGAACGCTTATCCTATATTTTTAAGAGTGTTCCTGATTTTGTTCATTTTTCACATGACTAATTGGAAGGTTGTATTAAGTGATCAAAAATTTGCAGAGCAAAACTAACACTAGTGGTGTGGCTGTCAATTAAATCTTGCTTTCCATGTATAATTAAGCTTGAGAAAACTTAGTATTTTAACAAGATGTATATCTCAAAATAAAAAAGAAGAAAGAAGCATTGCAATAGTTCTACCTTGTAAACCTAAACGAAAACTGAGGATGTGGGCTCATGATTTTGGAGGGCTTTTATTTTTAGGAAAGGAGACTTGTATTTTTGAGTGCCACTTTGTTGTCAGTGGAGAAAATGAAGGAGTCCTCCAGGTAATTCAGAACACCTGCAGAGCTTGACTTCTGGTTCATATAACTCTTAGCAGTATCTCCTGATCACTGCTTACAAAGGGAGCAAAGATGTTTAGCCTCCCTATGTAAAATTAATTTCTTGGAATTAATCCCTTTGCCTGTTAAGACTTATAACTCCCCCAGGTGTCTTTCCACTCGTGTGCCAGGTAAGTAGATGTCATGTAGGGATGCAGACTCCTGGAAATATTTTTTGATGGCTACATTAACCACAAATGTTTTTTACATGTGAGCTCCAAATTGATTGGAAAAGGATCATTGCATACTGTGTGTGGTGCAAGGCTTTGAAATGTGATAGCCAGCCAGCTCCTGGAACAGGGAAGAAATTTCTAGATAGGGGCCTTACCAAAGTTCTTTGGATATTTTCATTTTATTAGGAAACTCCTTCCTGAAGGGAACAAAAGGCCCGATAGGGAGACCAGACTCACTTCTTAGGGAAGTCTGCTGCCTCCCTGGGGCCTGGGTAAAAGATGTGAAGAGAAAATTTCCTACCCTAGTACAGCCCTCAGATTATTATCCATTATTGATTTTTCAGGTAGGCAGTGATGAAGCAGCAACTAGATGTCTGAGGGCAAGCAAGAGAGACTTCAGGACCTTGGGACAACTGGTTAAGCAGTCAGGAGCACAAGTAATGTTCTCCTCTATCCTTCCAGTTGCAGGGAATGATGAGGGAAGACACAGGAAAAGCCAGAAGATCAATGCCTGGCTCTGAGCCTGGTGTCACAGCAGATTTTTGGTTTTTTCATTATGGGTCAGTCTACGCAGCACCAGGCCTGCTTGTGACAGATGGGGTACACCTGTCTCAAAGGGGGAAAAGTATATTTGCACAGGAGTTAGCAGGGCTCATTGAAAGAGATTTAAACTAGACTTGAGGGGGAAAGGGGTAAAACCAGGCTTGCTAGAGATAAGCCTGAAGGCAGCATGCTGGTATTTGAGGGACAGTGTGCAACCGAGGCCCTTCGGTCTGCTGTCTCAGTGGAGGTAGAGGGTGGAGATCCATGTGGCAGCAAAGTTGCAGGGGTTATTGATGTGTTAGAAATCACAGAAGCACTTGAGAATGGTCACATAGGAATTAGGGCTTCTTCTCCCAAAAACATAGCAGGATCAATAGCCCAACTGAAGTACATCTACACCAATCTACTCAACACTGGAATGCGTTGCCCAGAGAGGTAGTGGAGGCCCCATCCCTGGAAACATTCAAGACCAGGTTGGACGGGGCTCTGGGCAACCTGATCGAGTTAGCAGTGTCCCTGCTCACTGCAGGGGCGTTGGACTAGATGACCTCTAGGGGTCCCTTCCAACCCAAAACATTCTATGATTAGTGCTGGACTTGGCAGTGCTACCTTAACATTTGAACTCAATGATCTTAGAGGTCTTTTCCAACCAAAATGATTCTATGTTTCTATGATTTAATACATAGTAAAAACAAACAAATAGAAAGATAAGACCATTAATGGCTTCTTTGTAATCTGCTGGTGTTGGGTTTCGAACTGCTGAGACTATAGTAGAACAGCATTGGAGCTCTGTAGCCAAAGCAAAAGAAGAAATGCTTTCCCTCTGTTATTTAGGACAATAGCAGTGTCTGAGTGAGCATTTCCAGAGTGGGGTGGAGAATCTTCAGACCCTATGATTGCCCAGTTCAATACTTGAACTCTGAAAAGCTTTGTCAATCCAGTGCAATGAATTGGGAATACCTGAAAAAAGTGTTGGAAATGCTTGTCTACAAAAGGGTTTCACTGACTGAATTATATTTACTTCCTGTTAGGTGCCCTTGTTCTCAGACAAGATCATCTACCTTTAAAACCAAGGTCCTACATCTCCCTCTAAGGTTTTTCTGCAATGACCGAAACAACCACTGAAATGGAGAAAGAATATTTTTATTTCTAGACTACCTCGTCTGTTGTATGGTAGGATTAACCTATACACTCAGTGTTTTAGAATGTAAATGTAATTTTCATCCCCTGTATTTGTCATGGATTAAATAAGGCACAGTATCTGGGGTCTGTTAGCCCATGGTTGTGGGGTGCAGAGTAGATGAGGTGACTGCTTTGGTTGCAGCTCATTTTAGTATGCATATACTAAACTTGGAAGAGGATAGAGATTAGCACAGCCCTGTGCAAGGATGACAAGCAAATTTATGAGTTATTCCACATCATGACCTATCGTCACGGGCCCCTGAACACACTGGAGCTCGTCTGACTTCTGGGGTCTAATTTCAAGGTCAGTACTTGGATGGGAGACGTCTGGGTGCTGTAGGCTTGCAGTTTGACACAAATGGGAAGAAAATTAGACCTTGGAAAGGGCTACCCAGAGAGAATGTGGACTCTGTCCTTGAGAACTTTTAAAACCTGGCTGAAAAACACTGTGGGCAACCAGGTCGGCGTTCAGTGCTGAGCCTGCCTTCAACAGGAGGCTGACCTGCTGAGGTGGCATCCAACCTGAATTATTCTCGGATTCTGTGGTCTGAGGTTGAATTTTATGTATTTCAATGCATTTCTGTATTTTTTGTTGATAAAGTTGCATGCTTACATGAGTTGACGGTAATGATAATATTCAATAATGATGATAATTGTATCATAAAAAAGAGGTCACACTTTCTGGCATGAGTAGAAAAAATATTTTTCAGATTTCTAAAGATAACACTAATTGCCATAAGGCTTACTTTGTTTATGCATAGGAAAAATTTCCACCAGTTGCTAATGATAGACTGTAAGATACTCAATAGCCTATAAACGAAGTAAATAATAATTGCAGCATAGCTTCTTAGGATAAAAGCCTTTTTTTTTTTTTTTTTCTCTTTAAGAAATATAAATGATCAAAACGAGGAGTATATTTATGATAGAAGCAGAGTGGGCTGGAATATTCTCAGTTCACGGAAACTACATGATCCAGGTATCAAATAAAAGCTTTGCTTTCCAAGATTCACCTACAGCTAAAAAGGTTGGTCTAGGCATCATGGGCTTAAAGTCCCTTGTTTCTCTAACAATAGACTAGTTCTTCTTTCAGTTGTAAAAACAATTACTAGGTATTTTGAAAGGACATGTTTTTCTTTTTAGTCACTGATACTTCAAAATAGGTAAATACTCAAAATGTGTCCAAAGTTGTCCATTTCTCTCTTGTTGAAAAAGGACTAATTCATTGTCCCCCTGGTTATTCTGAAGACCCGGATGGCATGTTGAAGGGTTTGAAAATGTGAAAAGTCCAGTGTCTTCCAAATATTAGAAGAATGTACTGTTGTACATTACCTAAAGGATTGCCTGTTGCAGTTTTGAAATTCTTCAAGAACAAAGCAATAATGGGGAGACGCTTTCAGTGACTGTAGATAAGAGCATATTTTTGAAGTATGTTTAACACTATAGCAAAAACAGATTTTATGCATGCTGAAGCTTGAAATAATACATTTATTGAGATTAGAGAAAAATTGCTGATAAATTCATTACTATAATCTTTCTCTAAAAGTATGGCATAGCAAAGTGGAAAAAAATGGAAAGCAATTTTATTCAGTGATATAAATTAGCTCTCCAATGTTTCTTGCTTTAACTTTTACAAAGTAAAATCAACTTCAGTCATAAAAATTCATCCACTGTTTTTTCCTCTATGAAAAATTTCAACTTTCTAAGGAAATTTTTGGAGTTTCTGAAAGGTTAAGGCTTGGCCAAGGACTGTATGTGGATTATTATCTGATGAATTCTGTGTTCCAAAAGGCCAACAGTGGGTGGGTGCATGCTCCAGCAGTCTTGCGGTAGGACATGGGCAACGTCCCTTCTTCACTGTATCTTATGCTCATTTCTACCTTAAGTGAAAGACCATAAACCTAATTTTCTTGAATAACCAGGTTTGGACAGCCTGCAGAAATGTGCTGCAAATTGGTTCTCTGAAGGCAAGTTTCAAATGCTCGTAGCACTTTTAGTTCTATGGCTTCATAGCTCATTGGATTTCTAACTTTACTTCATATTGGTGACTGCAAACATGAGTACATGGTATTTTTCTCACTATGGGATTCTTGCACGGGCTTAGGAGTTCTTGCTGCATGGAGATTTTTCCATGCACAAGCTACAAGTCTCGTGCAAACAAAAGTGCTGCGGAAAACGGTTGTCACCGGCCCCCCATATCTCTTGTGTGGTTCATAAAAAGGGGCAGCAATAAGGGAGAGGGTCCCACTGTACCATCTCAGCCTAGCTGGGAAAGCTATGTGAGCATGCAGGCAGGCTGGCCTTGAAGATGGAGGGGCTGAATTTTGACCTTGATTAAGGTATTTTGCAGCTGCACTGCTCCTTAGTGGTGCCCATCGGTTAGAGCTCACTTTTGCAGGGACTATGAGATCTAGTCCTGAAGCAGTGATCTTTGCCAGTAGGCATGTTTTGCTGGTTACTTATAGCATTAATTAGTCTTAATGGCTTTGGGAACATGGTGTTGGGAGGAATGTGCTAGTTAGGTGGATTATCTGCAACAATGGCAAAGTCCTTCAGGGAGAGGCTTGGTGGAAAAGGCTGGGTTCCAAGGGGAAATTAATGGCTTGCATCATATAATTAAGAAATGTATCACTGAGTATACACCCAGTGAAGGTGAATTAGGAAGGCTTTTGGATAGATTAATTCTGGCATTTTGTATTGTGTGAGTTCTTTTTGCTTTTTTTTTTTTTTGTATATAATATATTTAAACAGCACACAAAATACATATTCAACCTGAATCTGTACAGAAAAGGCTGTAATAATACAATACCTTCTAAACAGAGAGACAGTTTAAATCAGTGTGGGAACTGCAGCTGCTATGAAAGGCAGCAAGCTTTCTTTGTAGGAGTTGCACATGGTAAAAGACGCCACAGAAATGTTCTGTAACATTTACCTGTAGGAAGGAACATGAAGACAATTAGATATTTAATTACAGTTCTTAAAAGAACATGAGTAGAAATTCAGACTTCTAAATATCTTTTTGGATCCATTCTTTATTTTCTGCTTAAATTGGGCTACACCCAGACTCCAGAACCTGGGAACAGTTTTTAGGCTTCCAGGCTGAGTGCACATCCAGATGTACTTTGACACAAGTCAAGGCGAGACCCCAGCATGCACCAGCAGTCGCAGACTGCCTTGCTTCCACCAAAAGGCAGCTGGGAGCCATCTGGCAGCAAGACGAAGTCTGCCTTCTAATATCTCAGCAAATGAGTATAAATGCGGCTAATAGGCAGCTTCTCTGCATTCAGGCTGTATTCTCCTTGGTCCAAAAGTCAGGGACTTGTGCTGGTGGTGGAACCAATGGAATTATTCAGCATACCACTCATCTGCAATGAGATTTCACTACTCCTTAAGATACGCCTATTCCGTGGCCAGCTCAGCTTGCTTTTCTTGTGGAAGGTTGTGCCACTGCACATATTTTTGTTAAATCACACCCTGAAGGAACAATAGGCACAAGATTATTTTAATATTGACAATAAAGACTTAAAATGCATCCTACCATTAACTTTTGCCAAAGCAGATTTTGTTTGTGGGATCTTGTGTGAAGGTCCTTAGTTATATTGACTTTAGCCAGAAGCATTCTTTCCTCGCAGAAATATGTGCTTAGATACGCTTGCACAATAACCACCTGGTTTTTGTAGGATAGTCAAGCAATAATCCTTTGAAAAAGAACAACTAAGTGCCCAACATATTAAAGCAAAGCAGGATTAAGGAATTATTTACTACATTAGAAGCAATTTGTAGTTATAGTAAAAATACCAAATATTTAAAATTCTAGCACTGCTATTGAGATCAAAGTGGGAACAATCTGCTTAGGATCATTTGTCTTAAAGTTAATTCGAGATGGTTGTGTTGTTTACTAGATTAGGCAAGATGTATTTCAGCTGATAAATAAAGAATGGAGGTTTTGCCAGATGATGCACTTTCCCTAAATCATGATTGACTCTGAAAGGATTTGCTTTGCTTCTTATGTAGTTTGCCTATTACACAGCTTGTCTAAGACAAGCTTTGACCAGCCTTGCAATGAGATGTGATTACTTTCCAGTGCTCTATTAAACTGCAAAACTTGCTGTGAGCTGCAAATCTGCTCACATGATGAAGTTCAGACTGAGCTACCGTCAGGGCTGTGGAGGGAAACTCTGTGGAAGTCAAGAGATTTTTTTTCTTGTTCTGCATCCTTTTGAGGAG